CCGTCAGACTCCACATTTTTATTATAAAACTCGAGCTGGGCCGAACGGTGCTGTCGGACGTTCATCACCTTGCTTATTTCCCAGCTATTCCCTACCCCTGCTGTCCCGGTGGTCGTTTGACCTGAGGATACAGAGAACAGTGCTGTCTGCTGTCCTCTTGTCTCTCTGCTTCCCCTGCACGGAGCCAGGCAGTGCCCAGCAGATCCTTATTCTGACAAAGTCTGGTTTTGTTTTGTTTGCATTTTAATAGAAACCTTTAAACAATTTTGTTTATCTTCTAAGGGATAAAAATAAGCAGGTGTGGCAGCCTTGAGGCCATTGACTTCAGTTGCTGCAGCTTTATTAATCAGCAGAATGTAGCTTGTTTGTTCTGTCCTTTTAAAAGAATCCCACCCTGCAGAAAGTGTTGGAAGAGAAGTCCCTGCGCAGCGTCTCCACGGGGGCTTCTCCAGGGAAAGGGAACCGTTCGGGGAGGTAGATTCCAGAGAACCGAACCCAAGAGGACTAGAAGTTCTCCCTCCCTCCTTCTCTTCGTCTGAGAGAGGCTCCCTCTGAATTCAGCGCAGTTTTGCAGATCAGGCAGCTGGGGTCTTGAAGGTGAAATGACAAGAGGCGGGCATCCCACTCTGCCTGCTCACCTTGGACAAGTCCCCTCGTGTCCCTTTCTCCTCCTCCTAAGTAAAGCTAGTGAGGGGATGGGATAACTGAGCAGGACTTTCTTAGTTTTGCTCTCTGTCAATAACAGTTTAATTGTCATGTCACAGACTGGGGGAGGAGCTGGTAGCTCCTCAAATCGCTAGGTAGCAGAGGTGAAGACCCTGAAAGAGCATCAAAATGCAAAATGCTAACAATATTAGGTCATGTCATTGATACCCCAGCTGAAAGGAAATGTTAGGCTTTCCTAAAATTGGTGAATTCTTCCAAAGGCAGCAGCTAAAGGATGACTTGAGGTGGGGTGGTGGGGGAGGAGGTTTGCCTGCCACAGGACAACGACACCCTTTTCTCCTGTCTGCTCTGCTCAGCCCTTGCTCAGTCCCTCTGCAGTTAGATTACTCCTTGCAGATAGCAATCAACTGGAAGGAAGTGTGTGTGTCTAATTTGCATGAGATTATTTAAAACAAAAAAAAAAAGGTCTGCATTAGTCAGGGTGATGGTAAACAACGCAAAGAGATGCCTTTTATAATATAGCCTGTGCCTCAGCTTTCAGAGCCAAATATAATTCACTTACAATTGGCAGTTTCCTTTATTATTCCTTTTAACCTTTTGGATTCTGCACGGTCTCTATCTAATCTCTCCACTGTTTGTCTCAGTGGGGGTGGATGGAATCCCGGATATCTTTTGTGTGGCCCCTGGGCAATGCCCCATCCGTCTGTAAGGGCATGGTCCTTTCAGCACCAGAAGCTGGTGACAGGACAGGGTAGGTAAGTGCTGCGTGCGGAGAGGAGTAACACTCCACCTAACCTCCAGCCCTCTGAGTCCCTGATGAATCACTTGAGTCCTGTAGAGTCAGTCTTCCCTAAGCTGGCAGACACTTCAGAGGAGAGGCACTAAGGGAAGCGTAGGCACCAGCCTGTGAGAGGCCTTGGATTTATTTGATTAGAATATGAGGAGATGAGGTCGTCCTACCCTTGTCACTTGGTGGTGTTCAAAAAATTGTCCAGGTGACATTTGCAAGTAAGATCCAGGCGTTAAGTCCCCGTGTCATTTTGGTATAGCCGCATTCATTGGCTGTTACCTGACCCTGATGCTGGGAAAGATTGAGAGCAGGAGAAGTGGGTGGCAGAGGATGAGATGGTTGAATGGCATGACCGACTCAATAGACATGAATTTGAGTGAAGTCTGGGAGATAGTGGAGGCCAGAGGAACCCAGCATGCTGCAGTCCCTGGGGTCTCAAAGAGTTGGGCACAACTTAGTGACTGAACAACATAGACGGGGTGCCGGTGAGGGGAGTGGGGGAAGATAGGTCAGTCCTCATATTTTAACAAGATTGAAGGCTTCAGGCATCATTTTGGAGTCTGCCTTTTGATGTGCTGTAACTCTGTGCCATCATGGGAAGTCACCAGGCTGGAGACGGAGAGCCTGGGGTTTCATCTGCTATCACCAGGCTTTTACTACTAGGATTTGAGGCATAGTGTTCATCCTCCTTAAACCTCAGTTCTTTTGTCTTTGTTTTTTAAATCTGTCAAATAAGGTCGGTGGTTCGAATGATGGCCCAGCTCTGAAATTATATTGTTCGTTGAGATTGTCAAAATGCCTCTTTTTTTAAAAAAAAAAAAAAGAAGAAAAATAATTCATTTTCGGTAACTAAATCAAAAGCCTGCTTCTCCAGAGAACTGGGGATATCAGAACTCCAGCCAATGTAAATGTGATGCATCACATGATAAGGTCTCTGTGAAACAAGAGCTTGGAAGGAAGTGCTGATGCCCTTTAAGCCGTGGCTGCTCTTGTGGGCTTGGCTGCAATAACGCAGGGAACACGTTTTATTAGGAAAATAGGCTTTGTCAGAGCTCCAGGCCAGAGGGCAGGTCCACGGGCAGGGAGTCCTGTCCCTTTAATCGGCCCCAGCTCCCAGTGCCACAGCATAGCCTGTAACTTGCCGTATATTTCCCCAGTGCTAAACATTATCGTACTTGTTTATATTTGAAAGAGCCGAAAGGGAAAATGAGAATGCAACCGAATGCTCCTTTTGGGAGAATTACCCTCATTTGCAGCCAGCGACTGACAGGGCTCACGAGCCACCAGGTTTATAAAGTCCCATCGTGAGCCAGTGACCAGCCACTCGTGCTGATGCTGCAGGCGTCCTGTCTCCTCTCGTGGCTGATAATGGGGGTGAAACTGTTGATGATGGGGGTGGAACAATGCTCTTCCTACTAGAACTCAGAATGGGGCTCCCCTCCTACCTGGAAGGACAGACGGGCAGTCAGCACCTGGGCTGGAGCCTGGGAGCTGCTTGCTCGGGGAAGCGTGTTCTCTGTGTTCGCCCGGCTCGTCTGTCTGTCCTGCCCCTGTCCTTTGGAGGCTGCCTCACAGGAAAACAGGCTTTTTTCAACAAGCTGGGGTCTTAGGGAGGAGGAACATCCCCCACTGGGCCCCACGTACTCAAATTCATCTCTTGTATTTGAAGGTGCCATGACCTTCCCTGGTGGCTCAGACAGTAAAGAATCTGTCCTTAATGCAGGAGACCCAGGTTTGATCCCTAGGTCTGGAAGAGCCCCTGGAGAAGGGAATGGCAACCCACTCCAGCATTCTTGCCTGGAAAATTCCATGGGCAGAGGAGACCACGGAGCCTGGCAGGCTATATACAGTCCATGGGGTTGCAAAGAGTCAGACATGACTGAGTGACTGAACAACAATAATAAGCGCCAGTGAATGGTTCCTTTGCCCCCTGCCAGCCTCTCTTCTGCCCCTGGTGTCAGCCTATTGAGAGGATTCTGCACGTACTTGGGGGACCCAGCAGCCCTGGGATGGAGGAGTGACCTGGCCCGTACTGGCTGGCGTGCCAGGTTGAAGAGGACAAGAGACGCAGTGTTAAATGGGGAGGAACCTCAAGTGCTCAATGCAGAGAGGAGAGATGGCCCAGGCCCATTTAGAGTCATCCAGGTATTCTCCCTTGACTACTTGTGGTGGGGTGTGAGGAGTTTGAGGGGCAGCTGCAGCCAGCTCGCTTGCCAGCATGGTGCAGGGCAGCGCTGAGCTTGGGCAGCACTTGAACATTAATATGCTCTGGCTATTAGCCCCTTGGCACAGAGAGCAGGGCCCCACGCTTTGGAAGATGCTGATCCTTAGAACCTCCTTGTATTTCATCTACCCCCAGGGGCAGATAGACCATGCTGAGGGCCTCTAATGGGGAGCTGCTGAGCAGATGTGGACGCACTCTCAGCTCGAGTTTAAAAGCTCTGTGTGGCGGCTGGGTTGGATGCCGGCATTCCCAGAACAGCCAGAGTGCTTTGCAGACTAGCAGTGGCCTCCCACCTGCTTCTCCTACTCTCAGTGCCTGGAGTACTTCTGTGTGCAGGATCGCTTCCCTGACTGCCCTGTGGAATGATCAAACACCTGTGTGCCACTCTTGACAATCCTGAAGCTCTCGATCAATCGTTTGGGGCCCTCGTCTCTTCCCCGAGAGCCAGCATCCCCCATCTGCCTCCGACCTGTTGAAATATCCCAGCTGTGCGCCCACTGGACGTGTGGTCTTCATGGGTTTTTCAGTTGCCTTTTATTCTTCCATGGGTAAATCCTCTCCACGTGTCATAGCCACTGCAGATGGCGCCCTGCTATTTCCTCATGTCCCAAGTGCACTGTTGTTTAGAGTGTTGGGAGGATTTTTTTTTTTTAAAGGAAAACGAAAAACTAGCCAAAGGCGATATAGGCAGCTTGTGATAGGCTAGAGTAATAATCATCTGAAAGTTTGGGCCTGGCCTTGTTTTGATCTGTTTTCTTGTTTTATTTTCTTCTTTACATTCTATATCCCATTCATACTAATCACAGTCAGTCCTGATTTTTCTTTTTATTTCTGCATTTGTCATAAAATAAAGCAAATTATTCCCGTCTTCAGAAACGATCTAGACTAATTAGTCGTCTCACCCAATAATTAGTTTTTTGTTTCCCTGTCTGTTTTCATGCATTATTGTTAGTTTTTTCCCCTCTTTTTTTAACACCATTACAGATTAAAATGAGCAACATTTGCAGTTGATGGTATCTGATTTCGGGGGAAGAATGGAGAATTGCAGTACGGAGCGACTTCAAAAGCAGCAATAAACTCAAGGATAAATTAAGGAAATTGAATGAGCCACATTTGGAAGCAGTGTTGAGGCTAATATTCTGTCGCTTAAGGTTAAATTGCAGCCGAGAGAGGTTCCGGAGAATCCGAAATCGGGGAAGCAACTTAGCAGGATGCTAGGCGTCCTGTGACTCCAAGGTCTTTTCTCAAATGAAGATTTTCTTGCAGCCATGGACAGTGGCAAAAGGCACTCACCTGCAATTATGTCCTCTTCTCCCTCAGGGCTGACAGATGAAGAGATCGATTTGGCTTTCCAACAGTCAGGCACGGCTGCCGATGAGCCTGCGTCCTTGGGCCCAGCCACACAGGTGGTTCCTGTCCAGCCCCCTCACCTCATTTCGCAGCCATACAGTAAGTCACCTGCTCAAGCTCCTGCTTTAACCTTGACTGGGATTCAGGACTCTGGCCAAAGGGTAGTGCTTCACGTCTCTCAGACTCAGCAAGCCAGGGGAGACTGGGCGTAGGAGATGACTCTTGGGTTTTTCTAAAAAAGTGTGACACACCCAATCCTCTTCTAGACAAACTTATAAGTATGTGACAAAGGTTTAAGACACAAGAGACAAGAATAAATGAGTTTCTTGTTTTGTTTCAGGTATTTTGGTTTTGAGCAAGAATCTGTAAAAGTATTTATTGGTTGTGTTTTCATTTTCTTATATTAGTACATTTTGCATGTTGAAGTGTTAGTTGCTCAATAGCGTCTGACTCTTTTTTGACCCCATGTGCTATAACTCACCAGGCTCCTCTGTCTATGGGATTTTCCAGGCAAGAATACTGGAATTGGTTGCCATTCCCTTCTCCAAAGAGTCTTCCCGACATAGGGATCGAACGCAGGTCTCCTGCATTGCAGGCAGATTCTTTACCATCTCAGCCACTAGGGAAGCCCATGTTACCATTTTGCTAATAAGAATATAAACATCTAATTCATGGGTACATTCTTGTTTGGTCACTGAAATAATTTGTCTCCTAGTTTTATCTTTTAAAGTTAATATTAGTAGTTTTAAGCTAGCCGTCTCCACCCCACCCCTCTTCTTCCTTCCTTCCTTCCTTGTCCTGGCTATACCACATGTATTTATGTGTGGCAGTCTGTGAGAGAATTTCAGGTTAAATGTGAAGGTCCTTTTTGAATGCAACTTTTAATTGTTACATGAGAACATGGCCCATGAGAGGTTTTTGTTGTTGTTAAATGAAAACTGCTTTTAGTAATAAAGATTCTTTAAGCCAGTAATAAATATACGCTTCCAAAATAGAGGCAGAACCCCATCTTTGTCACTTATGAAAAATCTAAAAAGGTTAAAATTAACTCCAAATCAATGGAAAATTGCTCAGTTTTGTGTGAAGACCTCAGCCTTGGATTTGCTGTCTTTCAAAATGCCTCTTCAATACTTGTCTATCTCAGAAGTTTTAATTTTTTCAAAACATGCTTTTAAAGTGTTAGATATCCAATTTTAAAATGCACAGTTTCAGATGCCAGACTCGTTTTGACCCCTACCACATGACCTGGAAGCACTTTGCCGTCTTTCCCATAGACAGGGAGGTGCAGTCATTCGTATAGACAGCACAGGGCCCGGCAGTGGGTTAGAATCCGCTTTGTGTGTTACAGGTCTCATTTAGGCGTTGCCTTTTCTTTGCTCCCTGGATAAGGCTGGGCAGTGAGGCCAGGTTCCATGAACTCCAGTTGATCTCATCCTTGGTCACCCGGTCTCACAAACCACTCAGACCAGAGAACCAGTGCTCAGTGCCGAGCCTTGTCCCGGGGCTGCTGAGTCAGTGGGATTCACTCATCAGCCTGGGACTCCATTCTTCCTGGCTAACGTTCTTGTCAACCCATTGTGTTGCCTTGGGTCACTACACACACACTCCATGTTTCTTTTAAATCAAAGCCTGAATCTCTGCACTTTTTTTCCAGTTGTGGCCCTGGGCCCAGGGTTTGGTAGGATTCGTTGAGGATGGGTAGTGGCAGCTGGGGTGCAGAATTCTCTAAGATGCACATCTGTTCTGTTCCAGCTGTTCCTTTCGTGACTTAATACTGAGCCGGTCTCCTGGCTACTTGGCAACTTCTTGCTCAGAACAGATTATTCTGTGCATCACAGCACTGGCCTAAAACATCATACATTTGCCTACTTTCAGTTGGCACAAAGGGTTAAAACGCTCGCCTCTCTGAGAGGAGCAGAAGAGTGGGGGTGGGGCGGCCATTCAGTCATTTCAATCAGTCTCCTGCCCAGATCTCTCTGAGAAAAAGCATTGCTCCGTTTAGGTATTTAGGTAGGAGTATTTTTAAGAGTCTCCCAGCCCTAAAAATAAAATACATCTTCTTAGAGACAGACTCCTTCCTGCTTTGACACTAGTGTAAAAACAATGGTAATGGTAATTTTAAATACCTGGAGTTTTTAGTTGTCAGTGTTGAGCTTCACTCTTCTTGTACCGTTACCCTGCTCCTCTCAGCTCGGGGGTGACTCTCCCTCTCCACTTCTGTACTTTTGCCAAGAGGTGTCAAAACTACTCCAAAAAAAAAAAAAAAAGCTTGATTTTGATTAATATAGAGAAACAAGACTTTGCCTGACTGATAATAAAACTGATAAATGACATTTGAATTACTTGTAGCGGTAATTTATTACATAAAATATCTTTTATTTGACATGCGATTAGTTGCTAGAAGCATCACTCAATCTGACTAGTTTAAACATGCTCTAAAATGAACCCCAGTAAAAACCAGGGCTGTCTGCTGTTGGCGTTATGAAATATACTAATCCTGGAGTGAGGAAAAAAATCTGACTTTAAATATTTAAATGATTAATTGGGTTTATATATTTTTTTTACCTTTCTAACCCCCTTAATTACAAGCAAACTCAGGGGAGTTGCTGAACTAGGTGTGCAATCTGCATGCTTATCACCGAGGCATTGTCTGAGTCCTGGGAGGGATTTATGGCCTCCATTCATGTGTGTTCCTGCCGATTTTACATCTGGAGCTTGGGCAGCCTTTCCTTCCCATTTCTTGGCTTTTTAAGGACATTCCATCTCTGAGCCCAAGCCTAGAAAATGGGATTTTCTGGGCTCAGCCCCAAAACGCTCACGTCTGGGGGAGGGTGGCTTTTCCAAGACCACCCCTGGGAGCCCAGTGCTCACAGATCATCACCTCTTGCCCGCCCTCCCACTTGGTGGCAGGTTTCCCACTCGGTTCCTCTTTTGATATCTGTGGTTGACCTTGAGGTGTTAGCAAATGCCAGTGTCAGCAAAGAGAACATGGAGACCCACCAGACTGGGACCAGTTCAGGTCGTCAGTGTTTATCAAGCACCTATGGTGAGACTCTTGAGCATATTTAAAAGGCTTTGGGAGACTATTTGAGAGGGGGTAGTTTGAATATACAAGGAAAATGAAATAATAATATATGTTTCCTGGTAAAGTTGGAAAAGAATGTGGAGTTGGTTCTGAGCACAAGTGGAAAGATTTATAGTAGATTACAGACGAGAAGTGCTTCCCAGTGGCTCAGTGGTAAAGAATCTGCCTGAAGTGCAGAAGACACAGGTTCAAGCCCAGGAGGGGGAAGATCCACTAGAGAAGGAAATGACAACCCACTCCAGTATTCTTGCCTGGGAAATCCCATGGACAGAGGCATCTGGGGTCACAGAGTCGGACACGACTGAGGGACTAAACAACAACAACAACTATAAGCTCAGTTCAGTGTCATGAGAGATTCAAAACATGATCTTTAAGATTCTTACAGGCTCTCTAAGAGAGATAAGATAAACTCCTAAGAAAAAGATAATAATATAAGCCATTGTGATTTAATGCCAAAATTAATTATACAGACAAGAAACTCCACAGGAATACAGAAAAGAGAAAAATTAATGTGGGCTCAAGAAGTCAGAGAAGGCTTTGTGAAAGTGGTGGGAGGAGAAGCATGGTGTCACCTGGTGTGAGAATAAACCAGTGTTGTCAGGGCTTAAAAGAAAGCGGGATGAGCTCAGGAGAAGTCAGATCAGGATGCGAGAGGAACTCTGACATTCTCTCTTCTCAATTTGGTTTCCTTTTGTTCAACTTCAAAGCAGGAGTCAGTGTATGTGTCTATGCACAGAGCCTAACAGAGTCCCGAAGGTTAAGTCCTGATAAAAGCTTGATTGAGTCATTCATTCTAAGCGGACTTTTTCTTCTTTTCTCCTGAAGAGACAAGAATCAAGGTAGCTTTGAGATACAGGCACGATCAGTGTGAATTTTATACGATAATCATTTTTCTTAGGCTTAAATATCCTCCCCTCCGCCCCGGCCCCTGCCTACTGTCTTCGATAAACAGTTTAGGCTTTTTTAAAGACTGCCCTTTTTCTTTTTTTGCATATAAGGTTATCGTTACCATCTTTCTAAATTCCATATATATGTGTTAGTATACTGTAATGGTCTTTATCTTTCTGGCTTACTTCGCTCTGTATAATGGGCTCCAGTTTCACCCATCTCATTAGAACTGATTCAAATGAATTCTTTTTAATGGCTGAGTAATATTCCATGGTGTATATGTACCACAGCTTCCTCATCCATTCTTCTGCTGATGGGCATCTAGGTTGCTTCCATGACCTGGCTATTATAAACAGTGCTGCGATGAACATTGGGGTGCACGTGTCTCTTTCGGATCTGGTTTCCTCAGTGTGTATGCCTCGAAGGGAGGTGGGAGGGGGGACCGGGATGGGGAATACATGTAAATCCATGGCTAATTCATTTCAATGTATGACAAAAACCACTGCAATGTTGTAAAGTAATTAGCCTCCAACAAATAAAAATAAATGGAAGGAAAAAAAAAAAAAGACTGCCCTACAGCTTCAATTGTCTCTTCTTAAAATAGGATGTAAATGTCTGAGGTTGGTGAAAGGCTTTGACATTTCATTAGAACTCCTGAGAGAGAAAGTGTGTTCTTCCTCAGTCTGTTTTCCCTCTGGCCTGTTAAGTAACAGAAACTTAGCCTTGATTGTCCTAGGTCCCTGAGCAAGTATTTACTGTCCAATGCCTGCTGTGTGCCAGGTGTTGTGTGGGACCCCGGGGATGGGACGATTGAGGTGTGGCTGGTCACTCCCTCCAGCCCCCCTGTCCAGTAGGAAAGGCAGTTAGGGGAACACAGCAGTGCTGTGAGGTCAGCCCAGGGGAGACTGGTGGGACGGACAAGGTGAAGGGCACTTCAGAGAGTGGGAGGGGCCTAACTGGACCTGGGGCGTGATGGCTGCCCTGACTAGACAGGATGGACCCGAGCGTCCAGGCTAAAGCGAAGCCACATGGACGTGAACCCATGTGATGGTCAGAGTGGCTGCACCATGGGATGGGAGTATCAGAAGAGACGACTTGAGAAGAAGGTGACAGCCAGGTCATCACC